TATCAAAGGCAAAGGGAGGTTCTCTGGTCAGCCCTGACTCACACTGCTAAATGAAAGTAAAGGCAAGCTGGCCCAAGTCACGGGAGAACAGCTCATGCTCCTGCTGCCTCCGAGCACGCACAGACAGTCTGAGAGTCAAGGCCAAGTGAAGTGCATCCAACCCGTGTTTACAGCCTGTTCCATATACCCTAGAGGGGAAAATGCCACCACCAATCCCGGTTCTCCGATGCTCTCTTACACAACAGCCTCTTGCGCCACGCTGACCCTTCTTACAGCCCGCAGCTTAAAACTGTTCCACAAAAACTCACTCAAGTGTTGCCCCTGAGCCAGACATCTTGCTCCTCAACAAGAGGCAAAACCCAAGCAGTATGGATTGTACAGACATCATTCCTGCCACACGAAGCACAGATCTGTGCCATTACCACACAAAGCTGTCTGGTCACTTAGAGTCAGCTTAGGGATGGTGCAGATACATCGAGCCTGGATAGATCAAGGAGAAAGCTCTGATGCCAAAGGCAACTCTGCAGTGATGGGCCAGATGCAAACACTCTCCCAAACCCAGGCCACTCTACCACACAGACAAGAATATTGCTTCCTCAACTAGCAAGTTCCTAAAGTGGATTTCAAAATTAAAGCCTTGAAAGTGAATGCCAGAAAGCATTCTTGCTCTTACAGATAGGAGATAATAGATCGAGAAGAGCAAAGACGGATAAGGAAACTCTCCCTGGGGGAGATGATGCCATTACTTCTACTGAAGCATCACGCATCTCCAGGAGGGCTGAGCAGCTCTTGGAAAGAGCCCTGGGGCTCTGCCCAGGTTGACATGGGCTGGAGAATCCTCCAACACTCTTCTGAAGATGAAGCTCAGCAGCATTGCTGCACTGACTGCTGCTTGGACATCGAAGGCCAGAACCATCGGTGGGGCTCCTTCTGGAGAAGCCAGCAGTGGGGCAGCCTTACCTGGCTGCTATATGCCAGGTCTGTGCTCACCGGGGAAGAGCCGCAGGCATGCGGTGGGCACGGGGTCAGGAGGCAGCCCTGCTGGGTTCCTGTGCTGTGTGCACAGAGCAGGAACGTCGTCCAACTCCCGAATCCCATCCCCTCCCCCCTGAATATCCCTGGCCTCAGCCAGGTGCAGAACAAAAGGAAACTAATGATTTAGTTATTGCTGCAGCACCGAAGGTTTGAAGGTCAGCCATTCAGAGCGGCGCGCATTGTATGACCAAGCACTGCCTGCCCTGCCTACAGACCTGCAGCTACAGTCAGCGCAGCAGGGGCCAGCGCTGCACGGCTGGCTTCTGAGCGGGGAGATGAAAGGCTGCTTCTAATGTAATAACTGACGGCCTCTTCAGTGCCGTTTGAACTGTTTACAGACTGAGTTAACGATTACAGGCAATGTGTATCTTGGCCGCTGCCCAAAATTCTTACCCGCCCGTCAGATATTATCAAAGAGCCCTTCACTGCTTGCCTGGAGTCCTTCCAAAGCTCAACGCTGAAATGCCGGCGTAGAGGAGGGGCCTTCAGCACTCGCTCCTCAAGCTAGAAAGTCACGGCTCTGCTCTGCAAGGTGTCCTGGGGACCGGCCACCGAGTCATGTGGAGACACAGAAGCACCTACCAGCCCCTGGGCACTGTTTGTTTGGGCAGGCTCTTCCCTGCAGGACATCGCTGAGGGCTGCGCCTCCACTGCTTTGCTCTTCTTCCTTCAGCCTCCACACAGGCAGGGCTGCTTTCCCTTTTGCCCTGCCTGCATGCTGCTGCTGCTGCCTGGACCTTCCTCCCCACACGCCGTCTGCGTAGCCTGGGTGGTTGTGCTGACGCTGGTGGTTACACAGCTTAAAGCTACTGCTGCCAAAAGTGTTTTCAACACCCTCATGCCTAAGAGTGTGGACAAGAACAAACCAGGTGGTGGGAGATTAGATAAAATCGCTTCCATTGTTATTTGTAGTTGGAAATATGCAGGTGTAGGTATAAGGCCTGGCTAAATTTGGTTTAGAAAACAAGCCCCAGCTCTCTGGGGCAAACTGCACAAGGTCTGGAAACACTGTAGAAATGAAGGGATGAAATCAAGAGCTGGCAAGTCTGCTCTAATTACAGACGAGTAACACAGAGCCACATTCAAGTAACACTGAGGCTACACAGCGAACTGCTTCCGAGGCAGGAAATACCACAGCTCCAATGACCGCTCCGTCCCACTGCCAGTCCTAAACCTCCAAACCCAGAGGAGGTTTGGCGTTGCCTCCAGTGGGGGCAGAAAGCTAATCTGGGTCATGCATGGCTCCCGGAAGCTCCTGTCAAAGACAACTTCCTAAAACAACCAGGAAAAAAAATACAATTCAATGTGAGATACAAACACCCTCCTGGACCACCAGTCCGGTTCCCCCAGTCAGCAAAGTTTAAGCTGGAAAATGTTATTTAATGTTCAGGAGGCCGCCTGCAGACTGAGCTACCACGGCTTCAAGGTATCTGTGGTGCACAGAGCATTGTTTAAAAGCTTCTGCTTCAATGCAGCCTGGGGTTCAAATCTGGCAAGCCACAGCAGCAGCATCAATCCATGGATGGCATGCCTGCCAGAAGGCTGCAGCAGTGCTAGGATGCCATCATCTAAATAAAAGGAAAAAATAAAAAAGAAGGATGAAAATTTGCATTAAAATTTTGCTACTGTGTTCCCAAAACAAGGCACGTTTGTCCTGCCCCAAAAAATTGCAAATGGGTTTCCTCTGCAGGCTGGCAAAGTTTTGTCCATGACACGAAGGCTGGAGGTTAGAAGGGACGCCTTCAAGTGGCAGCAACCTCCTGCACACATACGGTGTGTGTCAGCAAGTTCTAGGCATAATGGTGAAGAATGCAGAACAGCTAAAGGAATACATGCCCTGCTTTTTGATCATACGTCAAACTTGACTTCCCATTGTCTTGTTGCTCGGATGCAGTTGTTTTCATTGGAGTGAGAGAATAGCCAGTGATGGACAGAAGTGCAACTCCTCCTGGATGCTGTAGTATTGCCAAGAGACAAAACAGATGCAAACACATTTGCAGTGCTTTGATTCAATAAGACTTGCTAGTACAGTACAGTACGCTGCAAAAATTGGTTCCTCCTACGCTTACTTGCTAAGACATGAGTTTGGGCCCTCTGGGATCCACATTTCCCTGGCTGCTATCGATGACATCACTGACATATAAGGAGCTACAGGAATGCAGAGAATGCAGCTTTGGGCTCTTGGGGATGCTGAGCTCATCTGCTGCTACAGGAGGTGAGAAAGATGGGGTGTTTGTGTCCCAGCCCTGGCACAGCTGCAGACTTTCACTTCCAACATCCATGCATGTGCTCTTTTTAAGGCCACACAACTTGTCTGCACCAGTTTAAACAGAAAAGTTTGAGAGGCTTCAAAATTGATTCCACTTCAGATGCTGAGTGGGAATAAAAATGTCAGCACATGCACACAGGGTCAAACCCCAAATGGATGTAACTCAAAACCTGTCTCTCACCAACTAATGGATATCAATCAGAAAGAGAGCTTCCACCTCATGTCTTCCCAGCATCCAGTGGCTGGGAGCTTGGGGAGCTACTGCTCTGGAGGATGTATGCAGAGCACAGTGATGAACAGCTTGATGATTTCACAGAATTGTTTCCTTCCCCTTTTGCCCATTTGTATTTTCTTCCACAATATCCTCTGCAAACGAACTCCATGATGGATTTCAGCTCTGTCAATAGCTATTTTTGACTGAGGATACTCTCACAGGAGACTCCCGAAGGCAATCTCTGTTAGCTCCAAAACACACCCTCGACTATCAGCAGCCTTTCTGCATGTAGCCAAGCTTTCATCCTGGAGATTCCAGCAACCAACAGTTTCACAGACATTCTATAAGCATGGCTGGCATGTTGAAAGGAGCTTGAAGTAGGTAAGCATAACTTTTCCCCTTAGTTTCAGCTTGCAGGGAGCCTCTGAAGAATCCAACACTGATCACCAAAGGGCATGTCTCCACACGGAGCTTCTTAGGGACGAGGATGACACAGCTCTTGGCCCAGTGCTCAAGAGACTGAGGCCAAAAAGGTGAAGAAATTTCTGTTTTCAGCCACCACTGCTGCAGTGTCCAGAGTAGACCACAGCTGTGAATACATGACATCTACAGAGTAGAGCTGTGAAGACATGACATCAAGGACAAATGGGGCAGAAAGCAAAATAGCCACCTTGCTTGACAAAATGTGATCAAGTAGAAGGTTACTACTGCTATCTTCACAACAATTTCACCAACCCTTACTTTAAAATGGTGCAGATTGACAGCTTTAAAAGCCATTTTTTTGTTCATCAGAATGGGAAAGGAGCCGTTCACAGAGGGTTTTTTTAGGGAGTGAAAGTAGGTTAGTTGTGACATCGCCTCAGCCGGAGGATCCAACTCTCATCCACACACATCTCCTCCAGAACTATGGAAGAGGGCAAAGACCTGAAAGGGAGTTGAGTGTGGGGACAGCAAGGACACCTGGAGCCACAGGAGTTAGGAATAAAGAATGTTCTGAAAGCAGAACAATCCTCCTGCTTACTGGACGGAAGGCCCTCTCCCATCTCCAGTTACTGCAGATCCGGGGATCTGGAGGAAGGAGCTGTCAGGCTGACGCCAGCCAATTCTGTATTTTCTGCTTGGGTTGTTTTGTTGTTTGTTTGTTTGTTTGCTAATAAAAAAGGATTCTCTGGTCTCTGTCACAGAATGATCACTGCAAAAGAGCATCTAGATCTGCCTGGAGCTTCTGATATGGCTTCTTGGTGATAAAACAACACTACATTGTGTACAATCAGCCATCTACACTTGAACTGACTCATGCAAACTCCAGTTCCTGGGCTTGCTTGCTTTTTCCCCTGGCTTTGAAGGGTGGAGGTGGATTGGAGTTGTTGCAATCACAAATTCTGCCTCTGTACGTATCGGCTGCTTTTCATCTTCCTGTGTTCTCCCGCACCAAGGCAGGATGTTTGATCAAGGATTTATTACACAGCCATGCTCCAAGCACAGAGAACAGGTTTTTTAATGTTGTATTCTGTGCCATAAGCCTGCATACTTCTGCCCTGTGAAAATGACAGGTGTCCATCTCCCAGGGAAACACAGCTTGCTCTCACAGCTCCCATTACCAGAGCCATACCCAGCCCCAACAGTGTGAATTTGCAGATCTCTTTGCAGAAGGCAAACTCTTCAAACAGCTGATGCGTCCGTTCATCGCCGTGCAGGCTCTAGAAGGGACAGTTCTTCATTACAGTTCAGCTGAGTTCTCCAGCAGTACAGTGCTGTTGATTTTCCCACCAAGACTCCTACAATACATTGAATAACATGCATTTACACTGCCCCATCCACCAAGTTCTCCATTTCCTCATACAACCTGCATTACTGCCATTGTGTAAGGACAAAAAGCCACTGTAGCCAAAACCTTAAAGCCTGCACAGCACTGCTTTGATGATTTCTGTTATATTAGGAATCAGTGCAGCACTTGAGAACGCAGGGATAAATCATTAACAAGTCATTATTGTTCACGGGCATTTTTGGCAGGAAACCACTAAGGTCAACTTGGACAAACTGCAGCGAGGCAGTGGGGGTGGCACTTTTCCTGGAGGAGCGTTCAAATCCTCGTCTAATGTAGTAAAAATAGGCTGGAAGTGACCTTCCTTGCTGAATCTCATAGACATGGAACATGTCACAGCCCCTCCTTGCCACCTCTCTCCGCCCATGCTCAAGTCTTTCTGTCTGTAAACTGCCCACCATCCTCCTGACACACACAGAACGACAACGCTGCTAATGCTGAGCACCTTCACAGCGTGTGCAGGCTGACAGCCCAGACGGCATTTTTCATTCACCGCTTCTATCATCTCACTGATCACATCCATCACTTCGGCTACCAACCCTGGGGATTTCCCAAACGCTGCTTCTCCCAGAGATTTGTCCAAGGATGGCTGTTTCTCATTCTTTGGAAACCTGCAGAAACGCCCCTTCTGTAAAACTCCATCAGTCACTCCTCCCATCCTCAACAGAAATCCTCATCTGCCTGTGCAATGCAACGCTTCTGCAGGGCCCGTGGATGTGTGTGGGGAGGGATACGAACGCATGTGCTGTTTGCTCCCACTGCCACCCCTGCTGGCACGCAGCTCAGCAGCCATCTGAGAACCTGTCCCACAGCAAATATCCTGGATGCTGATCTGTCCTTCCAGCTTCTAGCACTGTCAGATACTCCAGCTCCATGAAACACTATTTATTCTCGTTGTCATCCGGTTTCCTGCTTTGGTGGCCAGCTGGCCACTGACCCCCTTGCTATTTAGCTGCTGTAAATCAAGTGCCAAAGGACACTTCCAGAGTATCATGATGTGGCAATCCCTCTGTCTATGTGGATGTGACCGTTTTAAAATTAAGTAAGCAAACAGTTCTGACACAAACAGCTCAAAGGCTGTTGTATCTCAAAGGAGATACGACATGGAGATGGGTCTGCCTTCAAAACCCTGAAAATCTCCTGCAGAATGCCATGCAGTCAGCCCAGCTGCTCAGATGGTTGCCTGCTCAGCCAGTACTGAACAGCTTGCTGCCGATTTTTTTTTGCTAAGGAAAAGTACTTTCAACTTTGACATTTAAAAACTGCCTTACCCAAGCACACAAAAAAAATCTTTCCCAAGCTCACCAGCTTCTGGACACATTCATGGAAGCCAAGAAAACTACCCAGGTAACTGAGCCCAGCTTCTGAGATCACACTTCCATCTTTCTCCAAAAACGACTGACTCTACCATCACAAACACATGCAGGAACATTTGTATGGCAAAGAGAAGCAACGACTGCTTTACAGAAGAATGGTTAAGTAACTCAAAAAAAGGTTTTCCAGCCCAGTTTGAGGCTGCTGGTTCCCTGCTGCTGGAACTGGTGGGATCTCTTGGCATGTCCCAAGAGTGGAGGCTGTGCTTCCAGGGGGCTGTCCTTACTTCTGATGACATAGCTTGGCCACATTCTCACTGCCCTGCTCATCTTCATCCTGAAGCAGCAGTTGGGCTCTTTGAGCCCCAGTTTTCTCCTGAACTTTGAGACATTTTTGCTTTAAGAGGCTAACACACATCATCACAGACTTGGAGTACACAGAAATGAAGAATAACTGCCTACTTCACAGTAAGACTATGAGACCTGGGCTGCAAGCGAGGCTGTGATGTGCACAGAAATAGTGGAAGTAGGATTTGGAAGCATTTAGTATTTCAGTCATTGAAGATGACAATACAGAGTGTCTCTTCATGATAAAATCGGCAAGTTCTGTCTCCCAGTAGAAAACATTTGTAACAGCGATAGCCGATGGGCATCTGCTCCAGGAGATACTGGAGGCAGCTGTGTTTCAGAGTGGGCAGAGCCCACACTCTGGCCAGCTGTGTTCCACTCTCCCAATGACAGGGTGACATCTGCTCTTCCAGCTGCAAGGCCAAGAGAAAAGCTCCCAGCAGCAGCTGTGGACCATGAGTACCTCCACTTAGAGAGACACATTGCATTTCCTGGTCATCTATATTAACACGTATGAAAACAAAGCAATGCAAAACCCACAGCATGCAATTTCTCCAAGAAAACTTGGAGAACCACAGCTCATAAACTTGGTGCTAGGGAGACCTCCCCAGGCTCCCATGGCACACTTCTGACCCTTGCACAGAGAAGGAGATTTGGGATACCTGCCATTAAACAGGGTTTGAACAGACAGGCCTTCCCTGAAGGAATGACTGATAGCATTCAAACAAAATCCTTCTGGGTTTGACATCATCCCACTGAACCTGAAAATATCACGGATCTTCAAGGATGGCTCCATTTGGGGTACTGTGTCCAAGCCTATGGCTCCCAATACAGGAAGGATGCGGAGCTGTTGGAGTGAGTCCAGAGGAGGCCACAAAGATGCTCGGAGGGCTGCAGCACCTCTCCTATGGAGATAAGCTGAGGGAGCTGGGCTTGTTTGGCTTAGAGAAAAGAAGGCTCTAGGGAGACGTCATTGCAATCTTACAGTATTTGAAGGGAGCTTACAAGCAGGAGAGGGACTGACTTTTTCATGGTGTGATAGTGATAGGACAAGTGGGAATGGCTTTAAACTAAAAGAGGGGAAATTTAGGTTGGATGTTAGGAAGAAATTTGTTACTCAGAGGGTGGTGAAGCGCTGGCACAGGCTGCCCAGAGAGCTTGTGAGTGAGCCACGGACCCAAGTGGAATGGAGATAATCAGTGGATGGGGCAGCCTGATGCAGTGGATGATAATCCTGTCCACAGCAGGGGGGTTGTAAACAGATGATCGTTAAGGTCCCCTCTAACCTAAGCTGTTCTATGGCTCTGCGGTTCCTGTGGTGGAGCATCCATCACACTCACACACAGCCACCGAGGCTGAAGGAACAACAGTCTTCTTGGTCTGCCAGAGCTCCTGCCTGGACCTCCCCTCTCCTTATGGGCTGCTCTGGCATTTGGTTCGGTTACCATTTCCTGAGCCGAGCCTCAGCTCTTGCAGAGCCCAAACTCGCCTGCCCTGAGCTGTTGGCCGTATCTCGCGTTCTCTAGCAGGCTTCACTCTGAGCCCTCACAGATTCCCCCGGTCCTCCAAAACCCCCTCCCCATCCAGGCACCGGGGCTGAACATCGCTTGACTATAAAACGATTTCTTTTGTTGATAGAAAATTCTTTGCAGGGTGTGAACAGCAGGAGAAAAGAAAGGGTTCCTCTGAACTGCGCGCTCGCTGGAAACCCCCGGAGGGCGAGAATCCGATCGCTGTCTTTGAGGCGAGCAGGCCTGTCTGTGCAGAGCCCAGCAGAGCTCTGTGAGCGCGGCACCGCCAGCCCTGTCTACTCACAGCTCCAGTCGCCTGCTGTGCAAAACGGCTCGGCTTCTCCCATCTGCACACCCCGACAGGCCGAGCGTTGTCCCCGCACAGCTCTGGCAGCACACAGGCCTCGCCTGTTGCCTCCTCTTGATCCTGCACAGGAACCGGACTCGGCAGCTGCCAGCCCGGCGAGGAGGAGGCTGAGGGAGGGAAAACCCTCCTGCCTTTCTCAGAAGGTGCTGCCCGAGCTGCCAGCCCTGCTCTGAGGCACAGCCCTGTCTCAAATCCCCCCGTGTAGCGCTCACCTGCCCTGCACTCTAACACCCGCACCTCCCTCATGCAATCCCAAGTGCTCCTATCGGTCGTGGCCCCTTCCAGCAGCGCTTGTGTCCCAGCTCCAGAGCTGTTCATTGCCCCTAAACCTCCCCTCCCCCCAACCTTCTGCTCCCACCAAATGGCTTTGCTACTGGGTTTTGCAGTCGCTCCAGCAATGCTGTTTTCATCAGCAGTTCTGCTACTTGCACAGTTCGGTACTGGTCTCAGAGTAAGGAGGGAGCAGAGATGAGAGACATGGGGTGAAAGGGAGGAGCTGAGAATCCGTTTCTGCACACCAGAATTGCAACTGAACCTGTGCCATACTTCTGAGCTGCAGCCTGGGTTTTCAGGCACCTTCATCGCGTCTCAGTCTGTGAATTTCAGGCTGTAATGTGCACCTCTGCACATCTGGAAAGGTGTTACAATGGCTGGACTCAGACTATTGCAGGTGACTGTCCCACATGCTGGGGCTCTGCTCATCCCAGCACCTACAGCTCTGCAGACAGACAGGGATTTCTTCACCAGCTAATTGCAGCCATTTCTGCTTTTCCTGTCCTTTCCATGTGGAACCACAGAGGGCATAGAACCTTTCCCTTCTCACTTTACACTGCCCCGCTGCACTGCACCTGAAGAAACCCCTGCTTGCTCCTCACCCTCCCAGTTCCACCATAAGCCACTTGGTTCATCCATGCCCTCTCACTGCACAACAGCAGCCTGTAGATATTGGAGCAGCTGATCCCCGCAGCCGGGCTGGCAGGGCTCAGAGGAGCCGGGCAGGAAGGGGATGGGAGCAAGGGAAGGTCTAAGGTCTGCTCCAGGAGGCTCAGCAAGAGACTGATGTGGAATGTGACAGGAGCTGAGAAGAAAGCACAGGGTGTGGAAAAATAGGGAGGAGAAAGATTGTTTTGGAGGAGAATAGGTCCAGAGCTCTGGGCAGTTTCATTAGAGGAATATTAAGTAAATGAGTCAGAGCTTGTGGTGCCTGGGGCTCGGGAAAGCTGCTGCTGGTGTGAAGGGACGGCAAGGGAAAATGAGGTTTGTGGCATGCTGTCTGCATATGAAATTCAACCATAACAAAACAAGAGGAAACATGTTGCCTGCTTAATACTTTTATTAACATTTGCAGAGATTAAGTACTGCAGACATTCGATCGGTGCCTTCGTCTGTACCTGATTCAAGCTCTGCCTCTGTGCCTAGCTCTGGGCTAGTAACTTAAAGGAACATTTTCCAATTCATTACAGTTTCAAAAGGCAGTGCAGAGCACTCAACACTCCCCTGCTCGAGCAGCTAAAAAGCACACTGCTCTTCCAGATTCCAAACGTACCTCTGTGTGTCAGGCATTATGCACTCAGAGCTGGAATCTGGATTTAAGCTTTGTCTCTTAATTCCTGCACCTGAAAATGGGATATTAACCTGATATCTGTCATGTAAGAATGCAACGTGCATCAGTAAATGTGTATCTTTTACTGTACGTATACAGGTGTGTGTCCACATATCTACATATATATGTAGCATCTGTATCTACATATACCGTACACAGAATCCAAACTTGAAAGTCAAGATGGGTAAAACAAATTGCCTGCTCTAAAATTAGAGTATAAATTTCATAAGCATCTAGGAAACCTAAGGAAAGGAAGTTACACAATCCTACACGGTTCACAGGGGTCTGGTGTAAGACAGAAATACCAAAGATTCGTCCTGCAATGCGTATACTTATGTTCACAGGACAGGAAAATTAAAAATTAGTTAAAAAAAACAAAACTCTAACCATGAAAAATTCTAAGAATGAGGAAAGTAGGTAAAAAGGCATTTTAGAAAGTCAGTGAAAAAGATAAAATGTTTCCAGGTGACACAAGATCTCTTTAATAAGAGATATCTTATTAAAGCCTTGAAGTAAGCGTACACCAGTGGGCAAAAGAACCAACCCCAAAAGCCCAACAGTGAACAGTAAGGGAATAGCAGGAGGAAAAGACAACCTTTGGAAAGTGGAACTTGCATCCTAATGATGAGCAGAAAAGACTACAATCCTGGCAAGCAGGCTGGTCAAAAGGGAAAAACATGCTAGTGGCCTATGTACAAACAAAGAAGCCTTTTTCAGCACATCAGGAGAAGGAAGCCTATTAGTGAGTTTCTGTGGCTAACAAGTAATGTAGGGAATGAAAGATGCACTCAAAAAATATTTGCAAAAAAGCTAAATGAATTGTTTGCATCATGGTTCACTACAGAGGAAGCCAGGAAGTTCCCATGCAGAGCATTTCAGCATATTCATAAATTACTTGGGAAAGGGTAAATGAATGAGGTGACAACATTTGCAGATGAAACTATATTTTTGTTTTGAATTAGCCACTCTAAAGCTGATTGTGAAGACCTGAAAGAAGGATCTCAGGCTGCTTGGTGTGCTCTAATGAGCAGCAGCATGCTGACAGCTCCCCTCCCATGCCCACCTCCAGCCCTGCTCCTGGCCACGTCTCCCCTGCTGTTCACTCCACGCTTGACTTTGCTTCGAGCTCGCTTAACTCATGAAAACATCAGCAAAGGACCTAGCAAAAATGCTGATCATTTTCTGCAGTTTTCATGACAAGTTTGGGGAAGGGTCTTAGGGCATTGGAACTGGAGTGAGGAAGGGAACAGCCATCCCATGAAAGGCAGCCGTGGGGGAAAGAAGGCATTAGAGAAGAGCAAGGTCGCTTCTTTTCAACAGCAAGGAGCCGTCAAGTAGGATCAGCTGTACACATAACTGCTGCTCACATCACTGTGTGAGAAAATGAGAGCTGAAGAAGTTCGGCGACGTGCCTGGAAACAATCATACTGATAGTGAGGATGAAATGGCAAGCTTTAAAATGGCCAACTAAACTCAGAAAGGATCCCGAGATCATTCTGGAATGTGTTCCAGCGCATCAAATACTCTGCACTACCTGAGAAAGCAAACATGGTTGTAGGGATAAACCCACAACCAAAAGGTGCACCCAGTAATGGCCATCCTATCTTATTATATGGAGAAATACGATGGTTATATGGCAAATGTAGCAGGAGAATATGCACAGGT